GGGGTTTCGGGCTCCATATGGAGCTTGAGAATTTAGAAAGATTATTTCTTGTGCTATAGCGACATCTAGTGGATGTTGCATCCAACAATTTCTTCTCTTCTTTTGAGTATATGTGGGCTCCACCAGCATATCAAAGCAAAGACACCTTCAAAAGAAGGGCAGAAATATATATATATATATATTATTTCGACAGCTGCCTGTCTCACTCATTGACCACGGGCAGCTTACAATTCCAAAAGTATAAAAACCATCAAACAAACACAAAGGCGTTTTAAAAACAATAAAAGCATCCAAAATAAATATACACAGCTGCCAATATATGTATGTATGTATGTATGTATGTATGTATGTATGTATGTATCTATTTCTCTTTAGCCAGGTTCTTTCTACGTAAATTAAGATTTTTATGCAGCCTAAGTTCAGTGAAATCACAATCCACTAGTTTCTAGGCTTTTTTTTTCCTGGCAGCCAGCAAACACTCTGCTGCCCATTGGGAGACTAAGATTAGTCATATCATATATATATATATGATCTTACCGGCTATGGTTAGATTAGGTTTAGGTTTATTAAATTTGTATACCGCCCTTCTCCCGAAGGACTCAGGGCGGTGAACAGCCAAGATTAAAATACATACAATATAAAAATGAAGATGAATTAAAACAGAATTAAATTAAATTGGCTTCCCAAAATTTAAAACCCTTTGCCCATAAAATAACCCATTAAAATTTTAAGCCAGCCCGGCTTGCTGAAATAGGAAGGTCTTCAAAGACCTGATGATATATATATATATATCATTAAAAAGAGATCCAACTTAGAACTAAGGCCAAATTTCCTGACGGTGAGAACGCGACCACATGTTTTTTTTTTAATTTTTTAAAAAAAATTTTTTTAATTTGATTTATATGCCGCCCTTCTCCGGAGACTCAGGGTGGCTTACAATGTGTTAAGCAATAGCCTTCATACTTTTGTATATTTATACAAAGTCATCTTATTGCCCCCACAAACTGGGTCCTCATTTAACCTACCTTAGAAAGGATGGAAGGCTGAGTCGACCTTGAGCCTGGTAAGATTCGAACCTGCAGAAATTGTTTATTGGACCCGTGTCCCTCCTGGTTGGTACTGGCTTCCCGGGACGTGACACGAGGCTGGCTCCAGAAGATGGTTAACGCTTCTTTGAGTGAGGGGGTCCTGCCGGCTGCTTTGAAAGAAGCGGTTGTGAGGCCCCTCCTCGAGAAGCCCTCTCTGGATCCGGCTGTTTTGGCTAACTATTGTCCAGTCTCCAACCTTCGCTTCATTGCGAAGGTTGTTGAGAGTGTGGTAGCGCAACAGCTTCCCCGGTACCTGGATGAAGCTGTCTATCTAGACCCGCTCCAGTCCGGCTTCCGGCCTGGGCACAGCACAGAAACGGCATTGGTTGCGTTGGTGGATGATTTCTGGAGGGCTCGGGATAGGTGTTGCTCCTCTATGCTGGTCCTGTTAGACCTCTCAGCGGCTTTTGATACCATCGACCACGGTATCATGTTGCACCGGTTGGCGGGATTGGGGGTGGTGGTTCTGCGGTGGTTCTCCTCCTACCTCTCTGACGGGTCGCAATCTGTGTTGACAGGGGGGCAGCGGTCAACCCCGAGGCACCTTGCTTGTGGGGTGCCACAAGGGTCGGTCCTCTCGCCCCTTCTGTTCAACATTTATGTAAAGCCGCTGGGTGAGATCATCCGGGGCTTCAGGGTGGAGTTCCATCAGTACGCTGATGACACCCAGCTGTACATCTCCACCCCAGGCCACCCCAACGACGCCCTTGAAGTGATGTCCCAGTGCCTGGAGGCCGTGCGGGCCTGGATGGGGAGAAACAGGCTCCGACTCAACCCCTCAAAGACCGAGTGGCTTGGCTTCCAGCGTCCCGATATAGCCAGCTGACGCCATCGCTGGCTATTGGGGGCGAATCACTTGCCCCCACGGAGAGGGCTCATAACTTGGGCGTTCTCCTGGATGCACGGCTGTCTTTAGAAGATCATTTGAGGGCCCTGGCCAGGGGGGCTTTTTATCAGGTTCGCCTGATACGCCAGTTGCGCCCCTTTCTAGATCGGGACTCCCTATGCACAGTCACTCAGGCACTCGTCACTTCCCGCCTGGACTACTGCAACGCTCTCTACATGGGGCTCCCCCTGGGGTGTACCGGAGGCTCCAGCTGGTCCAGAACGCGGCCGCACGGGGGATTATGGGGGCGACGAGGCGCTCCCATATGACACCTCTCCTGCGCGAGCTGCACTGGCTCCCGGTGGTCTTCCGGGTGCGCTTCAAGGTGTTGGTGACCACCTTTAAAGCGCTCCATGGCTTAGGGCCGGGGTACTTATGAGACCGCCTTCTGCCACCAATAGCCTCCCACCGGCCAGTACACTCGCACAGAGTGGGCCTTCTCAGGGTGCCGTCCGCCAGACAACGTCGGCTGGCGACCCCCAGGGGGAGAGCCTTCTCTGTGGCGGCGCCCACCCTCTGGAACAACCTCCCCCCAGAGATACGTACAATAACAGACCTCCGGATTTTTCGTCGGGCCCTGAAAACCTATTTATTTCAACTAGCTGGGCTGGCTTGAGTTAAATTTTAAATTGATTTTAAATTGGGTTGTTTTAATTTACGGCCAAAATATTTAATTATTTTAAACTGTTTTTAAATTTTGTATGTTCTGTTTTTTACTTTAGCTGTTCACTGCCCTGAGTCCTGTTTGGAGAAGGGTGGTATAGAAATGGAAACAAATATAAATATAAATATAAATATAACATTATCCCCCCAAGCCACACCCACAGAACTCGTAGTAACAAATTTTACATTTCACCACTGCTTCCACGTATCTGCCTGGCCTAAAAAACGTGCCTAAATAGAATGGCATAGAGCCGGGGCATACTGGTTTGGGTGAACCGGTCCGAACCGGCTGGATACCACCTCTGCTAAAGATCCTTTTTTAATGTTTTCTGTCATTCTGGGCTTGAGCTTTTCCGATACCCACTGTGAGTGGCATAGAATCTAGGATGGGCTGGTAACACGGCATTGAGATAACCAATTCTGCAAAAGAAGCATATACCGTATTTTTCGGAGTATAAGAGGCACCTTTTTCCCAACTAAAAGGGGGTGAAAATTTAGGTGCGTCTTATACACCGAATGTAGCCCCGCCCACCCACTGGCCCCCACCCTTTGGCCTCTGCCTCGCAGCAGTTACCTCCTTGCAAGCAAACAGCAAGGAAAAAACAGCTCCTTTCAGCTTCAGCACAGCCTAATTAGCACACGTTGATTGGATCGGCCTTCCGACCCTCAGCTGATTTGCTCTCAGCTGTTTTGCGCAGGACTCTGCTGCTTGCTGCAAAGAGGTAAATTGCTGGAGCGGATTTTTTTTTTTCCTTGTGCTAATCAATCTATGCTGAAAACGAAAATGAAAGTAAAGCAGGCTGTTTGCTGCAAGGAGGCAAAATTGCTCAGAGGCGGAGGCAGATTTCTTTTTATTCTTTTCCTCACCCAAAAAGGTAGGTGCGTCTTACACTCCGAAAAATACGGTAAGTCATTGTGGATTCTGCATCACCGCCCGCCCTTCAAATCAAATTGCAGGAGGCTGCAGGAGGCGTTAATGCAATGATAGAGCGATCTCCAAAGTGCGCCAAGCAAGGAAATGGTTCCCTTCCCGCCAGAACAAATATTGCTTTCTGTTGCTCTGTAATGTCATACTTCTCACTGCTCCTTCAACGGCGGCCGGATAACTCTTGTTGCCTTACACAACGGCAAGCTAAAGATGAATGCGATTAAGGGGCAACAACATCAGGTCTAATCTGTTTTTAAGTGCCGTTCAATTCTGGTAATCTGGTTTCGAGAATGTACCTTTGCTGCCCACGAAGATTTAATCCTTTCTAAATGCTGGGTAACTGACCTTGGTTTATGTTTGGTTTTTTAAACTTTGCTGTAGAATTCTTTTGTTGGAAAGTTTTAGATTCTCATCCCCAAAGCAAGGAATTGGGGATTACCTTTTCCTAAAATCTTTTTGCCTTTGTAGACATAGGAGGAACATAACTGAGTTACAGGAATATGGCGGAAAGTATCAGGTTCTAGTTGGCTTCGAAATGCCATATATAAACAAGACACAAATAAGCGTCGATGGAGATTCCCAATCATCCAGGTCATGGTTGTCCCAAAGCTGCTTTAAAAACCTAATTATTTATTTACTTAACCCAAATAATTGCTTTTTTTCAAAAGGCAACTGGACTTCCTTGGGGTTTTTTTTTCCCCCTTTGAAAAAAAAGAAAAACCGAAGAATCTTCTTGAATGTGAAGCGAGACTTTTTCAAAAAACAAACAAACAAACAAACCCAAGAAAATCCAGTTGCTTTTTGAAAAAAAAACAAAAACTATTATTTGGCTGAAGTAAATAAATAATTAGGTTTTTAAAGTTCACTGCTATATTTTAATTCCTGGCTTTAATCTTTTAACTATTTTTTTACTTGTTTTATAATCTGTAAATTGCCCAGAATCACCTTGTAGGATAGCTGGGCGACAAAGTAATTAAGTAAGTAAGTAAGTAAGTTAGTAAATTAGTAGGTTAGTAAGTAAATAAATTAGTAGGTTAATAAGTAAGTAAATTAGTAAGTTAGTAAGCAAGTTAGTAAGTAAGTAAGCAAATAAATAAAGTTACATTTCTTTATTGTTAGTTTCTAAGTCAATTTGAGTATTAATATTCATTATTTTAATTGTGTTAATGTTTTATCTGGTTTTAATTGCTTGTAATAAAAACAGAATAGATAAATACTAAATAAATAACATAGATAGATAGATAGATAGATAGATAGATAGATAGATAGATAGATAGATAAATGTAAGCTGCCTGGAGTCAGCTCTGGGTGAGATGGGCAGCATCTAAGTTTGATAAGACGTATCAATAAATAATAATTATTTCTCTTTCAAACCCCTGGTGCTACTCAGTCGTAGCTTTTACAAACTCCCCTTTCTCGCTTTGATTTTTCGCAGAACAAGATCATTTTAGATCCCATGACCTTCAGCGAAGCCCGATTTCGGCCCTCCCTTGAAGAGAGATTGGAGAGCATCATCAGTGGGGCCGCCCTCATGGCCGATTCGTCTTGCACCCGCGACGACCGTCGGGAGAGAATTGTGGCCGAATGCAACGCGGTGAGGCAGGCCTTGCAGGATTTGCTGACCGAATACATGAATAACGTAAGTGATCCTCCACCTTTCCTTTCTTCTCTCTTCCTCTCTGGATGGTTGAAATTATCTCGCGTGCTTGGTTGATGGCATCCACCCTTGGTGGTCCCCAAAGGTGGTCCATTAAAATAATGTAGGGAATGCAACTTTTGGAATCCTTTGAAGTGTGAAACCGTGGAAGGTTTGTTGTGGAGTTTGGTCCTCAACGACATTTGAGTTTTGGAAGATGAACCAGAGTGAACCCTGTGATTTCCTTAGTAGAACAGGATACATCTTTAATCATACATCTTTGGTAGGGGCACATTGCTTTTGCCATTTTTTATTTAATTATCCCTCCAGAAGATCAATAATTTATTTTATCCCACAGCGCCATTGTATATAGGAGAGGTCTCCAAACCTGGCGACTTTAAGACTTGTGGACTTCAACTCCCAGAATTCCCCAGCCAGCTCTTTGTTTCACTTTGCTGTCAAGATATATTACGCTTACTGCATACCCACCGTCTATTAAGAAAGTTATCCTATGTGGCTGGCTGGGGAATTTTGGGAGTTGAAGTCCACGAGTCTTAAAGTTGCCAGGTTTAGGGGACCCCCTGGTATACAACACATATTATAAATAATGGGATAAAATCGAAATAGAACTACAGATTGGAAGATGCAAACCTCAGGTAAAGTGTTAAAATATTTCCTTTCCCCCACGAGACACGATTTACTTCTTTGTTTAACTGCTGGAACAAATGTTGAAATCTCTTGGCTGATGTGTGGGTAGAAGTAGTGAAATCCATCAGGAAAGATAGATGCTTGTTAAGTGTGGCAGTGTGTGAGTTATTAAGAAAGTATGTCTTGCGTGGGCTTTCCACAGCTGTTGAGTTACTATCTTTATGGCCGTGGTTACAACAAAATCTTTGAAACATATATTACCACGCTTAAAATTTCCAGGCACAGAAAACAGAGTGTTTTGTGACATAATCGCCATTGCTATATAAAGACTTCCCTTTACGGTATTGAAGATATCTCCAAATCTGAACCATAAAAGATTGTTTAGCCAAACACAACTGATGGTTTTGCATTGGTGTTTACTGTCTTGAAGGGCACAACACAAAGGCCTCCAGAACACTTTGTACAATTTCCTAGCGTGTTGCCAAGAATCAAATTCAACAATATTGATATGACATATTTGAAATTAATAGCGGATTATGTATTTTCACTTTAGAAGGTAACATTCATCCTTTTGGCTATTTCAAATGTGTTTGTAACGAACTTTTGAAACAGCCCATAACTATATTATCGAAGAGTGGAGACAGAGGGATACTTCTTAAATTTGGAGAAGATTCAACATCATTTATTAGTAAATGATAATAAATTGCAGAAGAACCTTTCAGAAGGTTTCCAACATCCTAAATATGATTTAAAGTTTGATTTTAAAAAATGATGTGACACAAGAACGGAAGATACCTGATATTTGACATTGTCTTAATTTATCTATGAAGGCAATTTTCGATGCATTGGGTTGGAGGAAATGTCCATCTGGGTTCAGTTCCAAGTGGGGAGAAAGACACTGGAAACATGGAGGGTGCTTGGAAAGATGGTTTAATGGTGGACAGGACCAACATGGTTTGAAGTCCTGGGTAGCTGACCACATGGAGTGGACAGTGAGATATATTTATACCCTCTCTTGGGCTTTGAACTTGCTTCCTGTTCTTGTGGCAAGGGCATGTATACTGATTGGTTGTCAGAGTCCCATGGGCCCCATCCAGGGGCAACTTTGTAGGTTGTCTTTGAGTCCCAGACTTGATTGAACCTTGCTGGGTGATGCAGTCTTCATGCCCTTTGGTGAGATGGGTAGAGGGCTAATCCTATTATGGCCTGAGGGTGATGGTCTTTTGTTTTGTAGATAAGCTGGCCCAGCCTTTTGTCTTATAGATAGCATGGCCCAGTCTTTCTGGGGCTATTAAAAAGTTTCTCCTTTTCTCATGCAGGGAGGTATAATATTCTGCCTTTTAAATATTTCCTAGAATATTTCACTCTTCTAGGAGAGGGGTGGGTGCTAACTTCCTACAATTGAATGGCTTTTGTTTATCAGTCATATGGATCTGACTTCTTTCTTTCCCAAGTGGAACATTCCAGAGTCTGAAATGGCTTGCAATGTTTTCTGAAGTGACAGTCAAGATGTCTGGTGTTTAAAGAAAACATTAGGACTTCAAAAAAAAAAAAAAAAGTGGGGGGGAAGAGTGTCTCCCCCCCCCCCAGTAAGGTCAAAGAATTTGAAAGAATACAATGAACCTTGTTAATAAAAATGGTGAAAGTTCGTAAAGATTATTAGGTGCAAATAGAAACGCATACTACTTCCATAGCAAGGACGATAAGGCAGGATACGGCAGGTTCAATTGGTTATTTTATTCAAAGAGAGAAATATATTTATATATGTTTTTTGCATGGATATCACTTTTGGATTTTGTCCTTGTGATGAAAAAAAAAACAAAAAACCCTGAAACTTTGACTTTGGTTTTGTCGATCAGATAGATTTGTCATGGCTAGTTATATACTAATGTGTAAAAGCAAAAAATTGAGGCTGGAGTGTTTTTATCTTATTCTATGTTGAAAAGAGTTGGATGTCAACATCTTTTTTTTTCTCCTTGTAGCTCACATTTTCTTTTCCCCTCTCTTTTTTCCTTCCCCTAATTTCTTATTTCTACTTTTCTTTGTATTTTATATATTAAAGAAAGAAAGAAAGAAAGAAAGGGAGAAAGAAAGAAAGAAAGAAAGAAAGAAAGAAAGAAAGAAAGAAAGAGATGGATGGATGGATGGATGGATGGATGGATGCAGATGCCAAGAAAAGGTGGTTTTAAGTTGAAAGTTGTCAAATAGTGAATTGAACTGGCTGTTTCCACAGTCTTTCTTCTAGAATTATTGTAAATTCTAAAATGGATTTTCAGTAGACAATTAGAAAGGTTGGTTTGTTCTCTCTTTCTTTCTCTCAGTTTTTTTCCCCATTTTTTTAGTACCCTGCTTCCCCCAAAATAAGATATCCCCTGATAATAAGCCCAATTAGATAACTTATCTGGTGTTAAATACCAACAGTACATCATCTTGTAGAACTTTTCTTTTAGATTATAATGTAATGTGGGAGCCAAGATTTAACCACTGTTTGCTGAGCTTCTTCCTGCTGACAAACGGAAGGGACCATCCTTCTAACCCTTGAGTTTGAAGAGTTGGAAGTGCCCAAGGTCAATCCGTGTGGCAGGGAACAATAAATTATATTCACGAGACAGCAAGAGATATCCATCGCTGTCTCCTATCTGCCTCCAGTGATTGGTGTCAGCCTTGGATAGCTGAGTCATCTGGATTGTCCAATTTAGTTATGGTACCTTAGACAAGGGCCATCTATCAATGGATCCCATCATCGTAGTTCTGGCTTTTTAGGGAATGCTTAGAAAATCAAAGCTATTAAAGGTAGCATTTGTAAATAATTAACTACTTCGGTGTAAAGCCCAGTAAAGTTCTATCGGAGTTTTTAATCACGGATGGGGTTCAAGATTGCCACTTCCTCTTTCTTTTCTTTTCTTTTCTTTTTTCTTTTTCAACCCAGTGAACTTGATGGGTTGGGAGGAAGCAGCTTTCCCATTCATCTAAATGTCAGAGTAATTAAATTTTTATGAAGCAGGTGTCAAAACTCTTGTTTGAAGAGATCAGTGAGATCCCAAGACATTGTTTTTAAAGCTCTTGAACAGACTTTCCACTTCTTTCTTATTCCAGGTGCAGGAATAAATGGACGAACAAGTAGATAGATAAATAAATTTAATAGACAGGTTGACCAAACGCACGATACCTTGTTGAGAACTTTTTAGTATGGTGGATAGTTATTGTTTTGTAAAAACATGCAATTAGCAATAAACTTAAAAACATGTAATTTAAAGCAACATGTCCAACATACAAGTAGTCCTCGACTTACAACTGGTCATTTAGTGACCGCATTGGTGACAGGAAGGGTATCTGGCCAGTAAACATTCAGCTCCATTCAGTTGCCCAGACTCCACCCTGCAAGGGATTATGGGGGTCGTTAAAAGATGATGATAGCACTTAGACTTATATACCGCTTTACAGTGCTTCACAGCCCTCTCTAAGCGATTTACAGAGTCAGCCTTTTGACCCCAACAATCTGGGTCCTCATTTTACCCACCTTGGAAGGATGGAAGGCTGAGTCAACCTTGAGCTGGTCAGGATCAAACTGCTAACAGTTGGCAGAGTCAGCCTGCAATACTGCAATCTAACCACTGGGCCACTACTCCTTCTTTCTTTCCTTCCTTCCTTCCTTCCTTCCTTCCTTCCTTCCTTCCTTCCTTCCTTCCTTCCTTCCCTGCCTCCCTCCCTCCTTTCTTCCTTTGCAAGAAGTAGCATTTAGACTCCTATACCGCTTCACAGTGCTTTTACAACCGTCTCTAAGCGGTTTACAGAGTCAGCCTCTTGCCCCCAACCATCTGGATCCTCATTTTACCCACCTCGGAAGGATAGAGGAGGGAGAGAGAAGGGGAAGGGAAGAGAAGAGGAGAAGAGAGAGAGACAGGAGGGGAGAGGGGAGGGAAGGGGAGAGGAGAAGATAATAGCAGAGGGGAGAAGAAGAGAAGAGAAGAGAGGATGTGAAAAGTGCACCAGGCTTTCCTTCTTACTTCATAAATACTACCTGGGTATCTGTCTGGATTTTATTTCTTCCAACACTTGGAAAAACCAAAATGTTCTCCATCTCACTTTCGCCAAAGGCAGGGCGTCTATAATCGTTTAAATGCACTTCCAGGGAACTCACTTACCAACGAGCAGAATTTTGCTTATCTAGACTGGATAATAAACCAGAGCTGTTAAATAATTTACTTGGAAGATTAATGGTCCCCTTGAAAGGGGCTTGTATTATTTAAATAAGTAGAACCGTTACGTTTTGCTTGTTTAACGATTCTTCCTTTCTCCAAGCCGCCCTAAACTTTTCATAAGGCAAGGTGGAGTATAAATATTTAAGTAATACA